CATTAGCAGCTGCTTTAAACGTTTACGAAAAAAATCAGTACCTAATAGTAAATTTGAAACATACAGTTAAATATAGTGTAAGAAATCATTGGTACCTTCATGTCTATCATCAATAAGAATTTGTTCTCCATTACAATCTACATCTTCACCCAATAAATGCGACTTTAATTTATTCAACCCGACATATACCATGTGTAAAGTCGGACGGTCACCATGTTGAATCAATCTAATTACATTTTCAAATGTTTTCAATAATATCACCAGGTCTCTTAATCCTTCAACATTGATTCGCTGAATATTTAATTTTTGTTTTTCTGCAGCAGTTCTTGTTGATAAAATTGATCGAATATGTTCAAGTGATGCTTCAACTGTGTTCAAAAGTGAAGATAAAAAAATCCATCTAGTAATAGTAGATTGCTGTAAAGCAACACCATGGTTTGATGTTATTTCATAGTTGATGTTTGTCTAAAAAAAAAGATGCATAGTTTAACTTTCCACAAAAAATATTTCTAACCAATTTAACAACTCCACCATGGGGATCACAATCCAGTGATTTCTGTGCCGGTCGCAAGTCCGGAAAAAGGAGGAGCGTTAAACGGAAGGGGTGCAGATACCGCCGTTTGTGAAAAAGAAAAGACGACAGAAACCAACCATGAACGGTCAACGTCAAAAACCATACCGGCTCGGACGTCGCCAGGGTGAACAAGGTCCGGGTCCTCTGTCGTGGAACCAGGACAGAATCGAAAAATTGGCTACTGGAACAACCAATCGAACAATCAATCAGGCAATAACAACAAGCTACGCAATAACAGCACCAAAGCTATCAATATCAACGATAAGAAACCAGTTACAAGCACAGACAACAACGACAACAGCGCACAGCCATGTATCAAACAAATTAAAATTGACAAAACGTATTTTCACTGTGGGTACTTGGAACGTTCGAACATTATGGGCAACCGGTAAATTGGAACTATTAAGAAATGAAATGAAACACTACAGATATGATGTTATCGGCATATCAGAGGTGCGTTGGACAGGAAAAGGTGAAACAACAAATGGTGATTTTATTTGGTCAGGTGAAAACAATACACATACAAAAGGCGTGGGAATGTTACTAAGCGTAAAAGCTCGTAAAGCACTTCTCAGCTACAATCCAGTTAATTCAAGATTAATTTCGGCCTGATTTACAGCAACACCATTCAACTTAACAATAATCAATGTTTATGCACCAACATCGGAAGCGTCAATGGATGACATTGAAACATTTTACGACAATCTGGAAGAAGCGGTGGCGAATACTCCAAAAAAGGATATACTCATTATTACTGGTGATTGGAATGCAAAAGTGGGTGATAACAATACAGGATGGGAATCTGTCATGGGTAAATATGGCTATGGAACAATAAATGAACGTGGTGAACAATTATTGGAATTTGCAACATCTCACAATCTATTTATTTGCAACACAGAATTTCAACAAAAACCAAATCGTAAATGGACGTGGGAATCACCAGATGGCATACATAAGAACATGATCGACCTGATTCTCATACAAAATCGCTGGAAAACATCCGCCACCAACTGTAGAACTTTCCAAGGAGCTGATATCAGCTCTGACCATTCCTTAGTTTTATGTAATATCAAACTACGATTGAAAAACCTAGCAAACAAACCGCAACAGAATCTGCGACACGACACCAACCAACTCAAGGACCAAGCAACAAGAAACAAATTTCAAACACAATTGGAACACCAGCTGAATAACCTCCACACCAACTGCAATATAAATGAACATGCTTTAGAAATTGAGCAAGCAATTAAACAAGCAATAAAAGCAACTACAACTACACAAACAACATCAAAGAAACCCTGGATTTCTCAACAAACATTGATCCTAGCGGATCAAAAACGAAAAGCAAAACAAACTAAACACATCTCATCGACCAACAACGAAAGATACAAGAATCTTTGCAGTCAAGTGAAGAAATCGGCAAGAATGGACAAGAACAATTGGATTCAAGAACAAGGTGAAGCAATTCAAATGGGGTTGACAGTAGGACACAACAAACAAGCGTATCAATTGGTGAAATTATTGAAAAAGAAGTTTTCACAAAAACTGACCAGTATCAAAAACAAAGATGGCACAGTATCACAATCAAAAATAGATGTACTACAAAGTTGGACACGATATTGTAGTGAACTGTATCAAGATAAAGGTGATAATGGCGAAAACACATTGGTAGAAGATCTGAGCAAGATATGTCCTCCAATCAACGACGTAACAAATGGCATATTATACAGTG